CACCTGTCAATGGCGTCATATCTCCTTTGTGCCTGCGTCAGCATTCTGTTGTCTGCCAGAAGCTTTCCTACATTAACTGTTTATCCAGTTTGAAACCACACTTTTACCATCCACTGTTTAGATCTTGGTGCTTTTAAACTCTAAATTTGAACTGGATGAAGGATTTTAGTCATCGGACGTCTGGATCTTTAGTTATCAGAGAAACAAGCTGAGCTAACGCTAGCAGCATTTCTGATGATTTAATTATGGTTGTATTTATAAGAGAAGAGAAAATCTTACCTGGATGATTTTATATAGAAAAGAGAAAACCAGGGAGACACAGGCATTCTTCTTAGATGGTCACTGGTCACACAGGTTAAGGCGAATAATAGCCTGATGTGAGTGTGATGTAAAACAATATACACCAGTAAAAAACGTCTCTGGTTTGTGAGCAGCACAGGTTTGTGAGAGTCAATAAAAGAGTTAACAAAATCTGTCTGCGGTAATAAAGCCTAACAGCTACAACCACAACTTCAGGAGATCCCAGGTCATTAGAAATACATCAGGCTTTTCTAATTTCTCAGTTTGCACATCCATGATTCCTCACCTCCTCTCCTTGCATCTTAGTCCCTCCCAAGATAAACTCTCTGTTGTAAGTGAGAATGAGAGGGGAAGTGTTTCATTAAGTGTTATTTCATCTGTATTAAGGTTAAATGTTATAAAAGAATGCATTGAGAACAGAACCTTAGGAAGTGCTACACAAACGGTGAAGGGCAAGAGGTTGATCAGGGATTTGATCATCCTAAATAACTAATACAACTAATCAAAACATTTTTTTGTATATTACAGCTTTATATCTCTTTTATATGTCACAGGTGCCAAAACATTGAAACTTCTACAAAGGATACACCTGTGTCCATCCTTGCTCATAGCTCCTCCAGCAAGCCTCCTCTCTCCTCCACATTGCTTTTAGGAATTGAGACATCCTTCAAGATGGTGCACTGTGATTGATTTCCAAGACACAGGGAGGAGGACGGAGGAGAGAGGAGATGAGGATGCACAAGATAGAAAAATGAGAGCTCAGTGTCTGCCACATGTAGCTATCACTGCAGGATACCTGCGTAGTCTTAGCATGCTCATGCTCTATTTGCTCTAGCCAGATATGCCTGTACATAATAACAGGAATTAAGTGGAAAATAAACCCTTGATGCCCTTTACCTGAGTTCAGGACTCACCTGATCCAGCCCTAACTATAAGCTTTATCAATGAGGAACGTCTTAAGCCTACTCTTGAATGTGGTGAGGGTGTCTGCCTCCCGAACCACAACTGGAAGCTGGTTCCACAGGAGAGGAGCTTGGTAACTGAAGGCTCTGGCTCCTGTTCTACTTTTAGAGACTATAGGAACCACAAGTAGCCCAGCATTTAGAGAACGCAGTGTTCTAGAGGGGTAATAGGGTACTATGAGCTCTTTAAGATATGAAGGGGCCTGACCATGAAGAGCTTTATAGGTGAGGAGGAGGATTTTAAATTATATTCTACATTTTACAGGGAGCCAGTGCAGAGAAGCTAGTACAGGAGAGATGTGATCTCTTTTTCTAGTTCCTGTCAGTACTCGTGCTGCAGCGTTCTGAATTAATTGGAGCATTTTAATGGACTTATTGGGGCAACCTGATAAGGAATTGCAGTAATCCAGCTTAGAAATAACAAATGCACGGATTAGTTTTTCTGCATCCGTCTGTGACAGGATGTGTCTAATTTTTGTAATATTACGTAAATTAAAGAAGGCAGTCCTAGAGGTCTGCTTTATGTGGGAATTGAATGACAAATCCTGATCAAAGATAACTCCAAGATTCCTGACAGTGGTGCTAGAGGCCAAGGTAATGTCCAAATACAAGAATTTCGTTTTTTTCTGAGTTTAACATCAGAAAATTGCAGCTCATCCAGGATTTTATGTCCTTAAGACATGTTTGTAATTTAGATAATTGATTAATTTCATCGGGCTCGATCGATAGATATAACTGCGTATCATCTGCATAGCAATGAGAGTTAATGGAGTGATTCCTAATAATGGTGCCTAAAGGGAGCATATATAAAGTAAATAGTATTGGTCCAAGTACAGAACCTTGTGGAACTCCATGACTAACTGTGGTATTTATGGAAGATTCATCGTTAATATAACATAGTGGATCAGCATTTGACAAAGGAGGACCCAGGGCTTCAATAGTAGGTTTCTTGTGGCTTTAATCAAACATTTCAGGCAGCACAGACATAACACACACATGCCACCAGGGGGCCTCTACCTATACCTTTCCTGGCAGGTAACTTCCTGCCAGGTAACACACACTTGGATTCCCAAGAGCTCCCTCTAGGGTAATACCAAATATTAGCAATCTCAGGATATTACATCCCTCCCCTCTCAGGTCTGCAGCCATCACTTAACTGAAAGTAAAATTAAATTACATTATACATGTTCCTCACTTAAATCTTAGTTCCTCAAAATTATAATAACATACAGTGTATATTTTTTAACTTTTAACTTAGCCTTTAATTCCCTCTAAGAATTTTAGTAACTGAAATTAATTATCCAATACATTCTCCGTCTGTTAGCCATACATTTATGGTCTATAATAGTCTGGAGGACGCCTCTCTCTAGTAGAGCGTCTCAAGTTTGGTGTTTGTGGTTCCTGCACTACAGGACTAGGCGCACTCTCCAGCTTAGGTAGACCACTCTCAGAGTTCTTCACAGGGGTTGTTGGACAGACAGATACAGAGGACGGTACTTGCTCAGGCACCACAGTTGGTGGGTTAGTCACAACCTGGGGTGTACTGGGATCCAGTTCAGGAAGTCTGCTTGGCTCCCTCCTCCTGATCTGATCAACATGTCTCTTCAAAACCTGTCCATTCTCAGTGAGAACGGTATATGACAGTAGACCTGTGCAGCTCTCAATGGTTCCAGGGATCCATTAAAAACTAGATTTCCTGGATTAAAACATCTGAGTTTGATAGTCTTATCATGATGAGCTTTTTGTTTCCATTGTTTCTTTTCCATCTTGGTTTTCAAGTCCGGGAGTAACAAATCAAACATGGACCGGGGCCTCCTGGACATGAGCATCTCTGCCAGGAACAAACCTGTGGTAGAGTGTGGAGTGATTCTGTAACTAAACAGGAATCTCTGCACTTTAGTTTCCAAGCTCTCCTTTCCTCCTTGCATCCTCTTCATCCCCTCCTTAAAGGTCTGAACTGCTCTTTCGGCCAACCCATTAGACAAAGGATGAAAAGGGGCAGAAGTCACATGTTTTATACCATTTTTGGACATGAAATCTGCAAACTCAGCACTTGTAAAGCAGGTAGCATTATCACTCACCAACATTTTTGGTAATCCATGGATACTGAAGCGTTGTCTGAGTTTCTCAAGGGTAACATGAGTGGTTGCTGTTTTTACTGAATATACATCCATCCACTTAGAATGTGAATCAACCAGCACCAAAAACATTTTGCCTAAAAAGGGACCCGCAGAATCCATGTGAGGTCGAGTCCATGGCTTCTACGGCCATTCCCATGGATGTAATGGTGCTGTAGTAGGGGACTTGCTGTGTCATTGACAGGCTTCACACTGGTGTACTTCACTTTCTACATCCTGATCCATCCGAGGCCACCACACAAATGACCTTGCCAAACCTTTCATCCTAGACATTCCTGGATGGGACTGATGCATCAACTTCAGCAACATTTTCCTTCCTTGCTGAGGAATAATGACCCGAGCACCCCACAGCACACATCCATCTCGAACACTTAATTCTAAGCGTCGGGTAAAATAAGGCATGAATTGAGGCTCTACTGCAGCGGGCCATCCTCTTAACACAAACTCATGTGCATGCGACAGTGTTACATCTTTGGCTGTCCATTGTCTTACTTGTTCTGTGGATACAGGTGCATCATCCATCACATCCAGCATCAGCACTAGCTCCTCCTCCCCTCCTACAGCAGGACGTGCCTCTGGCAAGGGAAGCCTACTGAGGGCATCTGCATTCGCATTTTGTTTTCCTGGCCTGTACACTATACGATACTCATAAGCTCTGGGCCAGACAGCCCACCGCTGAACCCGTGGTGAAACCATCTGAGGTACAGGTTTAGTTTCATTGAACAGTGAAATCAGGGGCTTGTGATCTGTTACAATTGTAAAGTTCCTGCCATAGAGGTATTTGTGGAACCTTTTTATACCAAAAATCACAGCCAAACCTTCTTTATTCAGCTGTGAATACTTTCCCTCCGCTGGTATCAAGGTTCGGGAGACAAATCCGATTGTTTTTTCCTTTTCCATTGTCCAACCTGTGAGACAGCACAGCTCCCACGCCGTATGGTGAGGCATCACATGCTAATATTAAATCTTTGTTTCCTGAATAGCTTACATTCTTCTTCAACAGATAGTATAAAGGGGCAAGCAATGTGGAAAGATTGGGAAGCAAGCGATTAGAATAGTTCAATATCCAATCCAATCCAATCCAACTTTATTTGTTAAGCACTTTAAAAACAACTAAAGTTGACCAAAGTGCTGTACAGGAGAATAAATAGGACATCATAAATGTAAACAGTGATGGTGATGATGAAGACCACTGTGAGGAATATAGACAGTGATGGCGACAACACTGGAAAGTTCCCGTGGCAGACAACACGGACGAAGTCCGACGGCGATGAGCTCGATGTCCGGGCTGCAGACGCTCTTTCACACAGAGTGCCCGGCGTTACACCACCTGTTGTTTATGAGCACGGACAGTCCCCCTCCTTTCTTCATGCCGGTCGCGGTGGTGTCCCTGTCGGCTCGAACCGTCTGGAAGCCGGGCAATGGTGACGATGGAGTCCGGTATCTGCTCGATGATTGCAGGGATGTAGAGTTTAAAGCTCCTCTTCTTCATCCTCCGTTTAACCCCCGCTCTGCAGCTTCGCCGTCTCCTCAGCTCCTCCAGTATGGAGGGTCTCTCTCCAGTCAGGATGCTCGGGTACCTCAGGGCGATCATCTGGTCGCGGGTGAAAACAATGCGACTCCCCGTCGCCATGGAGACCAGCGTAAACAAAAAATAAAAAGTGCTCAAAAACGCCAAAAAAGTATTTAGGCGACCTGAACAAAGTAGTAAGAGAGTGAGAAAGTAAGAAAAGAGTTCAAAATAGCAGAAACACACTGAAAACACACTAAAACTACAACAATGAAAGGAGCTGCCATGACAGGCTAAGTAAGCTTTAAGCTCTGTCACACTAGTTGGTGTGGGGGCATCAACAACAGCTTTTACCTTGTTTTCCACAGTGTGAACTCCTTTAGCATCCACTTTGTATCCAAGGTACTGAACTTCCTCAGCCAGCAAGGTGCATTTGGTTCTTTTTAGCCTGAGACCAGCATCTTCCAACCTGGTTAACACCTCATCCAGGTTCCTGAGGTGCATCTCTCTAGTTGCCCCGGTAACTAAAATATCATCCAAATAAACAGCAACTTGGGGTATTCCCTGAAGGACCCCCTCCATGGTTCTTTGGAAGATCGCGGGAGCAGAGGACACACCAAATGGTAGTCTGTTATATGTAAACATGCCACGGTGAGTGTTCACAGCTAGATACTTCTTAGACTGGTCATCCATTTGGATTTGTTGATATGCATGACTCATGTCAAGTTTAGTGAACTGCTGTCCTCCGGCTAACACAGACAGCAAATCCTCCACTTTGGGTATGGGGTACTGTTCTAGGGTGGAAACTCTATTAACAGTTAATTTATAATCTCCACAAAGTCTACAGTCTCCGTCTGGCTTGAGTAAGGGAACAACAGGAGCAGCCCAGTCTGAATATTTAACTGGAGTGATGATATCCTCTTTGATCAACCTTTCAATCTCAGCATCAACTTTAGGCTTCATAGCATAGGGAACAGACCTTGGTCTATAGAAGCGGGGAGTAGCACCAGCAGGCACTTGAATAGTGGCTTTAAACCCTTTTAAGGTCCCCAGTTCCTTTTTAAACACTTCCTCATGCTTTGTGAGCACTTGCTGTAGGGTCAGGGATTGTGGTTGGTTTGTAATGTGCTGCATGTGGCTTTTGATTTCGGCCCTGTCTAGTTTAACATGCTTCAACCACCATCTTCCCAATAAATTTGGACCTCTGCCATTAACTACTATAATGGGCAGTATCTTTTCCTGCATTTTGTAGTTAACTCTCACATAAGTCTTTCCGAACACCTTTATCCTTTGTTTATTATATGTTCTCAAATCTAGGCGGATTCTTTTTAATGGAGGAGCATGCTTTACTTTTTCTCTGAATGTTATTTGATTCACTATTGTGAAACCACATCCAGTATCTACTTCAAACTACAAACTTCTACTGGTTCCCCATTTAGGTCCATGCAAACCTTATAGGGTGGCTCCCTCTCCTCTCCATCCTCGCCCTGGACATGGTACAGAGAAAGCGGTTGATCCTTATCACTCTCCTCTGCCACTCTGGATGAACAATAGTGTACATTGCGCTCTTGCTTGAAGCGCCTTCCTCTTCCTTCTCTTGGCCTTCTGTCAGTCCACTTTTCTGCATTGTCCTTTTTCTTATTGCGACATGCTCGTGCTATGTGTCCAATCATTCCACATGCATGACATTTTTCCTTTTTGAAACGACAGTCTGTGGGTGCATGTTTCCCCTTGCAGCGGTAACACTCTTTGTCAATTTGTACCTTTCCATAGCTCTTTGATTCACCACTTTTCATTGCATTACATGACATAGCTCCCACTTTCATTTGCAAATCCTGCACATTTTTATTTGCAGATTCCATACCTTGGGCTAGAGACAAGGCACTTTCAAATGTGAGAGCAGTCTCTGATAGTAATCTTCTCTGGATTCTGTCATCATTTATCCCACACACCAGCCTGTCCAGTAACATTTGTGATAATGTCTCTCCGTAATTACAGTCCTGGGATAGTTTTCTTATTTCAGCCATATATTCAGCAACAGATTCTGTGGGTTTTCTCATACGTGAATCAAATTTAAATCTCTGGACGATTTCACTTGGCTTGGGATTAAAGTGTTTTTTCAGTAATGCTTCCAACTGTGCAAAAGTCTTTTCTCCAGGTTTTGCAGGACTTAGGAGGTTTCTCATCAAACTGTAGGTTTGTGCCCCCACCACACTGAGCAATCTGGATTTCTTTTTATCTTCATCATCAACATCATTTGCAATAAAAAAGTGTTCCATAATTTCACAGTATTCCTCCCAAGTTTGCATATTGCGATCAAATGGTGGCAGTGTCCCTATTGTTGCCATCTCACCCACATGTGTCCTCCTCCCTTCACCAAGTCCTTTGTTCTCAGGGAGTCTTCAAAGAATCAGCCAAGTCCACTCTCTGTGCTCCTGCTTCGGTGCAGCATATCTCCAAAGTATCCTCGTCGCCAATATAACATAGTGGATCAGCATTTGACAAAGGAGGACCCAGGGCTTCAATAGTAGGTTTCTTGTGGCTTTAATCAAACATTTCAGGCAGCACAGACATAACACACACATGCCACCAGGGGGCCTCTACCTATACCTTTCCTGGCAGGTAACTTCCTGCCAGGTAACACACACTTGGATTCCCAAGAGCTCCCTCTAGGGTAATACCAAATATTAGCAATCTCAGGATATTACAGTTAACATATACAAACTGCGAGCGATCTGATAAATATGACTTAAACCAGCTTAGTGCGGTTCCTTTACTGCCAATTTGATGCTCAAGTCTCTCTAAAAGAATATCATGGTCAATGGTGTCAAATGCAGCACTAAGATCTAATAATACAAGTACAGAGACAAGTCCATTGTCAGAAGCAATCAGAAGGTCATTATTAACTTTAACCAGAGCTGTCTCTGTGCTGTGATGAACTCTAAATCCTGACTGAAAATCCTCAAATAAACTATTGTTATGTAGAAAGTCACACAACTCTTTGGCGACTACTTTCTCCAGAATCTTAGAGAGGAAGGGGAGGTTAGAGATTGGTCAATAGTTGGCTAAAACCCCTGGGTCAAGAGTGGGCTTTTTAAGAAGGGGTTTAATTACAGCTACTTTAAAGGACTGTGGTACATACCCTGATAATAAAGAAAGATTAATCATATCCAGTAAAGAAGTGCCAATTAAGGGAACAACTTCTTTAAGCAGCGTAGTTGAGATCGGGTCTAATAGACAGGTTGATGGCTTCGATGTAGAAATGATTGAAGTTAACTGATGAAGATCGATAGCAGAAAAACAGTCTAACTAATGTAAACTCAGATATATATTTAAAGTTCCTGAACTTGGAGAGCCACTGATACCTGTTGATGGCAGTTGGTTATTAATTTTCTCTCTAATAGTAATAATTTTATTATAGAAGAAGCTCATGAAGTCATTGGTACTTAAGGTTATGGGGATATGTGGCTCAATAGAGCTGTGACTCTCTGTCAGCCTGGCTACAGTGCTGAAGAGGAACCTAGGGTTGTTCTTATTTTCTTCTTTTAGTGCTGAGTAATAGGCTCCTCTGGCATTACGGAGGGCCTTTCTATATATTTTAAAATGATCATGCCAAATTGAGCAATATTCTAATAATTTAGAAGAGCGCCATTTCCTTTCAGATTTCCTAGCTATTTGCTTTAACTGGCGGGTTTGGTGGTTGTACCAAGGTGCTAGTCTCCTATGTTTTAATAATTTCCTTTTTATAGGAGCGATAGAGTCTAATGTTGATCGTAGTGAGCCTGCAGCACTATCGACAAGATTATCAATTTCAGAGGGACTAAAGTCGTTATAGGACTCTGTTAAATTCAGACATGGCATTGAATTAAACACTGAAGGAATCTCCTCCTTAAATTTAGCTACAGCACTGTCAGATAGACATCTGCTGTAGGAAGTTTTGCCTAATGGCTTATAATCTAATAGTATGAATTCAAAAGTTAGTAAATAATGGTCAGATAGGAAAGGATTATGTGGGAAGAGGTCAAGGTCAAGAGTGTGATTAAAACAATGAGTTGGTTTATTTACACTCTGACAGAAGCCAATTGAGTCTATTAATGATATAAATGCATTACTAAGGCTGTCATTGTCAACATCCACATGAATATTAAAATCACCTACAATAATTACTTTATCTGATTTAAGGACTAAACTTGATAGAAACTCTGAGAATTCAGATATAAAATCAGAATACGGTCCAGGAGCGCGGTACACTATAACAAATAGAACTGGCTGCAGTGTTTTCCAGTTTGGGTGAGAAAGACTAAGAACAAGACTTTCAAATGAATTATAATTTAGTTTAGGTTTAGGGTCCATTAAAACACTTGAATCATATATGGCTGCCACTCCACCTCAACCAGGTCTCAGTAAGACAAAGTAAATCAATATCATAATCTGATATTAATTCATTCACTAAAACAGCTTTAGAGGACAGAGACCTGATATTTAACAGTCCACATTTCATTCTCTTATTTTGTGATACTGAGGAGTTGGTTTTCATTTTTATTAGGTTTTTATGTTTAACTCCTCTTGTTTTTATTTCTTTAAATAATTTAGGTGGTCGGGGGACAGACACAGTCTCTATGGGGGTTTGGGTGGGTGACTGTTCTAAAGAAAGCGCAGAGAAGTGTGTAAGACAGCAGCTCTGCTTCCTGGTCCCAACTCTGGACTGTCAGGTTTTAGAAATAAACTTAGTCATATTCCTAGATAAGAGAGCCGCTCCATCCAAAGTGGGATGGATGCCGTCTCTCCTAATCAGACCAGGTTTTCCCCAAAAAGGGACAGAGCACTGACAGAGCTACAGCACCAAACAGTGTACACAGAGCAGGAAGTTAACCGGAAATGAGTCAGTACGCTTACCATAGCACCTGAATGCTGCACTTTCCTTCAATATTTACACACGACCAAAGAAAAAGCTTATTTGTATGAGGCAGAGTTCAATTTATTAAGCTCTACAGCGTGTTTGTGGAGAAATATTACAATTGATTTCATAATCATAACTTTTTCTTTTGTTGGATTTATTTGACTAAATGACTGACGTACTTATGTCCATTGAAGAAAGTTACATGAAAAAATAGGCAGCGAAAAACCAACAATAGTCAAAAGAGGAGCCACCACATCCTCTGGTTCTACTTTTCGTCCTAAAGGATCAGTTCACACAAATAACAAAACATGTGTCCACTCACCCCTAGCCATATACACATATTCAGATATGTCCACCCACAGTGAGCAGTTTCCATTAGGACTTTTTATCTATTTATTCATTCATTCATTCATTCATCCATCCCGCAGAAAATATTTCTGTGGATTACTGAGTAGGCCGAATCTCTGGACATACCATGAGGTGAATGTAAGAATTTGTCTTCTGGGTGAACTGCATTGTTAAGTTAGCAACTTGAAGGAGAAGAATGAAAACTGCGTGGAAACCAAACTAAAATAATTGAGCAAGCTTTCTCAAACTGATGACGTGCATGTATTAAAGAGGGTTTGATCACTTTCAAAAGCACTGCCTTGATACCATTTGTCACATTTTCTGCAGCTTTGTTCACTGTTGAGGCATTGTCTGATCAGCCTACACACCAAAGGATGTCTTACACTTATTTTAGAGACTCAAATCCCAAAAATCTGTAAGTGCAGCAATCCATCTTTGTGTAGCCTTGAAGACTGCTGAATTCACGATCCTGGTTGAGTTCTGCTGTGTTACTAGTGTAAGTGCAATGCAAAGGAATGATTTCTGCTTGGGCAGACTTGTTCTTGCTCTTCACTGAGCAGAGAGCAAAAAGACTCCTTCACAGGCTTCACAAGTGTGGTGGTAGTGGTGGTTGTCACTCAAAAAAAAGAAAAGAAAAAAAAAGAAGCAAGGATTTGGGACTGCTGATGGAAAACCGACAGTGAAATTCTTATCCTTTGTGGGGTTGGCGAGGGGGAAGATGGGGAGATTTGTTTGACGGCAGTCAGTCAGTTGAAGGGGGCTCCTGAGGTTCCCGATTGACTGAATCAAGAGAAGAAAGAAGAGAAAAGTTGTTGTAATCTAAATAGATTATATTAATACTAAATATAAATAATACTAGTAAATATGGTAATCTAATAGTGTTCCATAAAACTACATAAATTCTAGGGGTATAAAATAGGTGCAATTTGGACTTCACAATATGGTAAAAACATCATATTGCTTTTATTTTGACAGATATTGCAATTGCAATATGGTGCATGATTAGTGTGGGAATGATAATGTTTGCATTACAAATACATTTTTTCACAAAAAAAAACAACTTATGATGATGTGGGGTCTGTATAAACAAACAGACATTTTCTTACATCTGTATAAGGCCATCTTTTTGTGCCAGGGCGTCTCTGCAGCACTACAGTACTTATTATAATGCTGTTTGTCATATATTTTACCTTCGTCAAAATATTGCAGCTTCTGCAATCTGCATATTGCGCTGGCCATATTGTGATGTAGATCATATTTCCATAAATTGTGCAGCCCTAGGTGCAATCCAATATCCTTTTTTCACAGTAAAAATTCAAATAATACTTTCTTAAACATGGGCCAGTATAGTACCAGAAATGCATTATCTTTATAGTTGAATGTGAGCAGCATGGTATTGCATGTCCAAACCAACATAAAAGTCTGTGCATGTACCTTCCTCCCGTGCCTTCATGCGGGCGACAAAGTTGTAGCTCTTGTTCCTTCGATAGTTCTCATAAGGGTCATCCAGTGACACCCCCACACCTTTATACTGGTCCCATTTATCCCTGATGTCTCCTCCTTTGATGGGGTCTTGGATGCCCTGTTCTTTAGCCCCCAAACCACCTGAACCACTCCACCCTACAGCAAGCAGGACAACACAAAAAGAATAGAAGGAAAGCTAGAGATCAGTGTACAGCAGGTGGATTATTTATTTATTATTATTATTTTTTTAAACTTTATTAATTGTTTTTATAATGGGCACATGAAACACATTTCATATAATCTTATATTTATGTTAAATTATTTTTTAGGTTTATTTTACTTTTTTATGATACGTTCCATACAGAGCCTGTATGTTTCAGGGTGGAAAACCACATTAAAAACATCTTAAACTGTGTTACTTGAAAATTGAACAAGCAATTTGAATGATGAAACAAAGAGAAAAAAGAAAGAGCATATACCCATCTTCATCAGCAGCTGATGGCCCTTGTTCTCTTCCCCTAGCCTGGTATCTGCAGACAGTTTGGAGAGAGGGGCGCCCAACACTGATGTGGAGCTGTGGAGAGCAGGAGAGGTGGTCATCTATACTACAGTAAGGCATAAAGAGTTTTTTATGAAGGCATTTCATCAAAGAGCAGTGAACGACTTACGGAGGGGAGGAGCTTCGGGATTTGGCGCCACGGCGTCTCTTGGTGGGTGAATGTGAACGGGATCTGGATCTGGAACAAGAGTGACTCCGTGATGACCCGGATCTGGTCCTGGACCTAAATAGAGGTACGTTAAGGTTGTTAGACCTGTGCCTCAGGTTTATAACACTTACAATGTTGATAAAGAAGTATTTAGCATGTAAGCCACTGAAT